AAATTCTGTAACAAGGTGCTTACTGCTTAGTTTGTGCTGAAGGTTTAAATCTGGGAAATAGAAAAATGGGAAAAGAAATGACAGTCTTTTTAATGGTTGGATGTCACCATCATCTTTTCATTACTGTTATTTTCAGTATGTCAAATTTTATCTTAGGACTTTTTGGCACTTCACAGATATCTCTTAAATTAGGCTTTGGAAAACCTGAAGGTAGTTTTCGTACTCTTCCAACAAAATGGAGTTTTAAATGAAAAACTTCTCTTGATTAAGCAAAATAAAACTGTATATAGGCAAAAAAAAATGTCACCTCATTTAAAACGTCTCGTTTTGTGGGCTTTATGGACTCTAGTATATAATTGGGACTGCTGTTAACACAGAATTGTGAATAATGTAAATGAGCTATCATGTTGTGAAACCTTGATCTCCACATATTGTAATTTTGCATGTAGCTGTCACACTAGAAATGAAAGAATCAAGGCAGGACAAAGAGAGGGTACTTAGGTGAAGTGATTGGGAACACAGGTCTGTATTCAGACATCTGGCTTCTGTTTGTCTTGGATTCAGCTCTGAAATTGGAATAATGACAATTTACTTGAAAATTTTTGAAATGGAAAATAATTGAAAATTTATCTCTGGTCTCAAAAAGCTGTTGTCTTAAAATTTGTGTATTTATTTTTATTGGGACATAATTCTCATACAATTCACTCAAACGTAGTTTTGCATATTTACCAAGATAGTGTGTATCTAAGAATTTATTGCTGTGACTAGCACCTAATATACTCTGTAACTGTTAATGATCATTATAAAAGAAAAGAATGTGTTGAGAGCAATAGTGATTGACATATAGAGATTAGAGTCTCTGTATGAGTTTGCTAGGGCTGATGTAACAATGTTCCACACAGTAAGTGGCTTAATGATTTCTTGTGTCCATTCAAGAACAAAGTGTTGGTAAGGTTGATTACTTCTGAGGCTTCCCTCCTTGGCTTGCAGATGGCCATCTTCTCCTTTTCTCTCTTTGCATTGTCTTCCCTCTGTGCATGTTTCTGTGTTCAAATTTTCCCTTCTTATAAGGTCACCAGTCATGTTGGATTAGGGCTCGGCCTGATAACCTAATATTAACTTGATTACCTCTGTAAAGATCCTGTATCTAAATAAGGTCACCTTTTGAGGTACTGGGGTTAGAACTTCAATATATGAATTTTAGGGGGACACAGTTCAACTCATAACACTCCATCTTCCAATCCCCAAAAGTCATGTCCTTCTCACCTATAAAATATAGTCACCCTATTCCAACATCCCCCAAAGTCTTAACCTATTCCAGAATCAACTCTAAGTCCAAAGTCTCATTCATGATGCTTAATTTTAGTTGTCAGCTTGGCTGGGCTATCCAGATATTTGGTTGGATATTACTCTGGGTATGTCTGTTAGGGTTTCTTTGGATGAGGTTAACATTTGAATGGGAAATTGAGTAAAGCAGATTGCTGTCCCTTATGTGCGTGGGTCTCATCAGTTGAAGCCCTGAACAGAACAAAAAGGCTGAGTAAGAGGTAGTCCTCCTGTCTGACTGCCTTTAATCTGGGACCTCAGTGTTTTCCTCCCTACACACTATAACAGGAGCATCAACCCTTCCTGAGTCTCAAGCCTGCCTGTCTTTGCACTAGTAGAATGACACCAGCTCTCCTGGCTCTGCAGCTTGCTGACTGTAGATCTCAGAGCTTGTCTGCCCACATTTATATACATGTATGTGCACTCACACGCACACACACCTACTGGTTCTGTTTCTCTGGAGAACCTTGGCTAATATATCATATGAATATCATCTGAATCAGGTATGGGTGAGACTCAGAGTTTGATTAATCCTGAGGTACAATCCTTCTACAGCTGTGAAGCCAGACAGTTTACTGCTTGCAAATACGATCATGGGCATAGGCATAGGATGGACATTCCCTATTAAAAGGGAGACTTCAGGAGAAAAGAGGTCATAGGTCCCAAGCAAGTCTTAAACCTAGCAGGGAAAATTTCACTAAATTTTGAGGCTTGGAGAATAATCCTCTTTAGGTCTAGGCTGTGTCCTCTGGCCTACTGGGCTGGCGATCTTGCTCTGGGAGGGGAAGTTACTTGCTGGTTCCTCCACCCATGCCCAGGGCAGCAGTGATAGGCTCACTGGACTCTGATTTGCCTTTGGGGCCATTTTTCCCTTTTCTTAAAAGCTAACACCCATTTGCAACCATTTGGTTCTGTAGGCTCATTTCATACCAGTAGACTCCCAGAGTCCAGTAGCCTTCCTTCGTTTTGTCCAGCTCTGCTTCTTTGGTGCAAACTGGCAGTGTTTCTATTCTTGAATTTAAAAAAAAATAACTTTGTTGGCTTCTCAGGCAGTTCTTGGGGGTCCAAGTCATCACGCAAGAGGGTTCTCCACAAATCTTTCTCGGATAACCGCATTTCTACTCCTAGCTTCTGCTGAGATGATTGGTAGGATTCCTGAATCCACATGCTTGATCTCTTCAAATCATGGTTCAGCCATGCCCTAGGCCCTGTTTCCAGACGGTGTTATCTGGACAGGCTTAAGAATTTTCCTAACCTTGAAGTTCTAATTCCTTTCTGCTTAACAATTCCTCCTTCAATTTATCCCTTTCCTCTTTCATTTTACTCTGAGCAGTACAAAGAAACCAGACCACACACCTTCAGTACTTTGCTAGGCAACCTCCTGAGTCAAATATCCAGGTTTATCGCTTAAATTCTCCAAAACACTAGAACATAATTTGGCCAAGTTCTTTGCCACTTTATGACAAGATTGCCTTTCTTCTAATTTCCAATAAATAACATGTTCCCCATTTCCATCTGTGACATCACCAGAAGCATTTTAATATTCCTATTTCTTGCCAAATTCTGCTTATGATGCATGTTTATTTTCCAACAACAAAAGCTTTCTCTACAGCTCTCCTCTTTTCATTCTCAGCCTTCACCAGGATCTCCTTTGCCATTTCTATCAACTGTCTCTTTAAGGCAGTTCAGGTTTTTTCTATCAACTGCCTCAAAACTCTGACAGCCTCTACCCGTTACCCAGTTCCACAGTCATTCTACATTTATAGGTAGTTGCTATTATAGTACCCACTTCCTGGCATGAAAATCTGTATTAGGCTTCTCCAGAGAAACAGAGCCAGTGGGAGATGTATATACTTGCATATATACTTACACAGTTACACACACACACACACACACACATACACACACACACCCTATGCAGGTTCACAGCTGTGGAAGAATTTTACCTCAGGATTAATCAAACTCCCAGGCTCACCCATACCCAATTTAGATGATATCTGAATGATATATCAGGCTTCTCCAGAGAACCAGAACCAGTAGGGAGCAGTGTGTGCACACTTCATGTACATATGGGTGGGCAGACAAGGCCCGGGAGCTGCAGTCAGCAGGCTGCAGACCCGGGAGAGCTAGTGGTTGTAGTTCTAGTGCAAAGGCAGGCGGGCTGGAGGCTCAGGAAGGGCTGGTGCTTCTGGTAGAGTCTGTAGGCAGGAAAACAGTGCAGCCCCAGCTCTAAGGCCACATATATGTGTGTATATACATACATATATAGAGAAAAGAAAGACAAAGAGACTGATCCTTGGGTATCTGCCCATGTGATTGTGAGGCTTGCTGTTGGGAATGTTCAGGGGGGGCTGGCAGGCTGAAAATTCTGGCAGGAATGGAGGCCGCAGTGTAGATGCCAGAATCTTTCCTCTTCCGAGGGTGTGGAGGACCTCAGGCTTTTGAGGCCTTCAGCTGATTGGATGAGGGCCCCCCACTTCATTAAGACTGATCGGCTTTACTCAACATCTCCTGATACAGATGTTAATCCTATCTAAAAAATACCTTCACAGCACTGTCTTGACTGGTGTTTGACTAAGTTAACTGATTGCTGTAGCCTAGGCAAGTTGACACATAAAATTAACCATCACCATCTATAATAAAAAAAATCGTGTTGATGGTGATTCTCTGAGGCAGTTGTACCAGGAAAGTCCTCTTAGTTTTAGCCAGTGGGTTTTGAGAAAGTAGTCCATCAGATGCGGTGTGAGAAACTTTGAGAATCTGTGGTAAAGATGTGTAATAATCTTTCTAGGTTAGTAGCTTTTATTTTAAAAAACTGAACATTCACCCCGTTTTAAAGATGAGAAAAGAGAGGCTTAGTAGTCAGCATAGAGGACATGGCAGAGCCTGGATTTGAATCCCTGTCTGCTTCACTGCTCTGCTGTGTGACATGCCTGGTGGCTAGTTAGGGGTGGTGGTCCTGGAAGAAGTGTTTGCTTGGAGGAAACCCAAGACGTTCAAGGGTAGTTGTATGAAGCACGATACTACAGTGAAGGATAAGTAGAAAGGAATCTGTCTTCATAATGTCAGATTGTTTTAATTTTTAGGAAAAAATTTTAAAAATACAGAAAGGCACAGGCTAAACTGACAGACATCTTTGTATCTATGAACCAGAGTAAACCGTGTTTGCTTCAGATTTTGTAATAAAACAATGACCAAGATTCCCACACATCCTGTCACTCCCTTCCCGCTCTTTCACCTTCCTTTCTCACACTGGCAAAACACTGATGAAGTTGATCGTCAGTTGATTTCCCATTTTTATATGTTTATAATGTGTGTATTAAGACCAATTAATTATAGCTTTTACTTTAAAAAATTACCCCACATTTCTTACGTACAGCATATATATAATTTCACACTTACAATAAACAAGATCTTATAGCCTTAAACCATATAATAATCATTGCTAATATTTACAAAGCAGCCTTGGTTCTAAGAACTTTACATGTATTAACTCATTATTTTTTGTAACAGTTCCTTGGGTTATATACTCTTATTTTTCCCATTTTACAGATGAAGGGATTGAGGCACAGAGATTAAATAATTTACCCAAGGGTCATAAGATGTAAGTAGCAGAGCCACCACCTCTTATAGTTAGTATTGTTACAAATGTTAAAAAAAAAAAAACAAAAACCACTGAGTGGTGCCATCCCACTAACTGAGCAGTCAGTAGTTGGTCCTTTGGTTGCATCTGATCCAGTTAATTGATTCAAGACGGGACTGATGGCAGGGAAAGAAAAATGTAAAAAAACAACTTATGTAAATGCTGTCATAGTGTACTTAACAATCAAAAACTTGGGTTTCACTCAAACACTGATCTTGAGATTCTGTTCATTTGGATAAATATGGGCCTAGTTAACTCCATCAAAATGCTGTGCTTTATGGTTCCTATCTTATGACCATACCATCTTTTTTTTGGTCCATTCTCATATTAATGGATATTTAGTTTTGTGTCTTCCAATTCTCTATATTACAAGAAAATGCTGCGGTGAACATCTGTGTGTTTGTCTTGTGCACTCTCTCTGGGCCGCCCCCTGGTAGGGGAGTAGCTTAGTTAAAGGGTATTTACAGTTTCAGCTTTTTCCAGATGTTGGCAACTTATTCTCCCAGATGTTTACGTCTCAGTTCACAGTTGACATTTCCCACTAGGGGAGACTGAATGCATACCGACAATGGCCAGACTGTGTATACAAATAGAACTCTGACCTGCAACCTGCAGACACGTGCCCAGGAAACCAGCCCCTTATCTACAGTAAGCAGCCCAGGAAGCTGGCTTGCTGTGAGTCCGACTTGCAGGAAATCACTGTCTTAATTTGCATTTGACTGATTATTAATGAACTGGAGCCCATTGTATAAGACAGTCCTTTCCAGAAAGGAGTTAGGAAATTACCTTTTAGAATAGGTGAGGATTCCAGTAGCACATGGTTTAACTTTGCTCGTTTCTGAAGAGAAGGGAGGCAGCCTAGAATCGTTATCTCAGACTTTTTCTTTAAAGCAGAAAAAGTCTGTATTTTTTTTCCAAACTAAATTTTAAGGAGGACAGTAAGCAAGATGAAAACGAGCGCCTCAGGTAAAATGGTTCCACCTGCCTGGCCTCCCCCACTTCCCGCCAGTCTCCCCTGCCCCCGGATCACCTGAGACACTGGAGGAATCCTCGGGCTGGCTGGTAATCTCCGGGATGCCTCCTGGTGTGAGAGTTTGATGAAATCCCATTTTTCATCTCTCTCCACCCCAGAACTTCTACAAGATTTCGGGCTAACCATATTCTGTTTCTTTGGGCTTCTGGCAGGCAGGAGTTTGTGGATGCTTATGTGAATTACGTCTTCCAAATCTCAGTTCACGAATGGTACACAGCCTTCTCCAGTGGCTTCCTGAAGGTGTGTGGTGGCAAGGTGCTTGAGCTCTTCCAGCCTTCCGAGCTGCGGGCTATGATGGTGGGGAACAGCAACTACAACTGGCAGGAGCTCGAAGAGGTGAGTATGGACAGTACTGTCTTTACCTCCAAGGAAGCAGCTGTGGCCTGCCAGGTGGGCCCAGAGCCTGGTCTCTTTCCAGGTGGTCTGTGGTTGAGGGGGCTTTGGAGGCCTCCTAATCTCGGTGGTTATTTCCTCCTCTCCACTGCAAATGGTGCACAAATGTATGTCCTCTATAATATTCTTCTTTGTCTCTTTTGGGCAGACTGCCATCTACAAGGGTGATTACTCAGCCACACATCCCACTGTGAAACTATTTTGGGAAACATTTCATGAGTTTCCATTGGAAAAGAAGAAGAAGTTTCTCTGTAAGTATCAGTCATGTTAACACAGTGCTTGTCCATGCGTTAGTGTTGCCTGTGGTGGAGGGTGATCTACCACACAGGTCAAGGTCTTGAAAATGAAAAAGAGTAAGTGAGGGAAGTATATTTCCACTTCTTGTCTTAATGAGACCTCAGGCAAACATAGGTGGTACTTCCTTATTTGTTGCCTAATAGGATGTATTGCATGAAAGAAAAAAAAGAAGCATTTTGCTGATTTTCAGTTGCTTTTAAAATATTAGTTATCTTATATGTGAGTATTATGAAATATCACGCTGATAGAATCTAATTCGATTAACTTCCCGTATCTCTCTAGGCTTTTGAAAATTTTGCAGTGTCTCCTACAGATGTAACTGGGGAGATAGGATTTACAATAGCTTTATTGAGATATGATCCACAGAGTACAATCCACAGTCGACCCAATTAAAGTGTATAATTCAGTGATTTTTTAGTATATTCACAGAGATTTAATCCTGTCAGCAATTTGTAGAACATGTTCATCACCTCAGAAAGATACCTTGAACTCAGTAGCAGTCATTCCCCATTTCCTCCTGACCTGTCACCCCACCCGGCCCCCCCTTACCATCTGTTTTCTGGCTCTGTGGATGTGCCTGTTTGGGACATGTCACATAAATGGAATCATACAAGATATGGTCCTTTTTGACTGGCTAGGGGACATTTGAGAAGGGTAATATATTTGGAAAGGAGAATGAAGCCCAATTTATGTCAACACATTTAGCCTTTCAAAAATAGTTGTAATCTTTGTGTCTGTATATAATCGGGGTCAGAAATTTGCTAGTGAGTAGTATACAGTTTTTGTTTATATAAAATAAAACAACATGCTTTGAAAGGCAGTCCCTTTTGCTTTATAAGCATGAGCATATCTTAATATTAATGCAAGATGTACCCCCAGATTCTACTGCTCCCACCGAGTGAGGATGAGAGGAAGTGGGGGGAGAGGGCAGGCTCATAAAAGAATGCTTAAAAAAAAAAGCCCTGCTTCTCCTCTCCCTAGTTCCATTGGCTCTTATGAACAGTGGCCTATAAGTTAAATGACAGGTTAAGGAGCATGTAGGGCTCTAACAACCAAGAGGAGTGTAGCCATGGAGATTTCTTAAAAGAGTTTTTTCTGTTCAGAGATCATTAGACTTGTGGAAATTTTTAGTAACTCTGCAGATATTGGCAACAATGTTTATATACCACAGCCTCAGGTAATAGGTTTTTTGAAAGTGCTCAGTAACCAATGACTTGTTTGTAGTAATTCCAGCAATTTAACTCTGAGGTTATGTATTGCTAGAAAACATGGAAAGACAGCTGCGTTGGCCTCTTTCTCTTTCCCTCTCTCTCTCTCTCTCTCTCTCTCTCTTTTTTTTTTTTTTTTTGCCAAGTCACAGTGTGTTACAAGAGTGAAATGTCTAATATAACATCATTGTTGCTCTTTTGGTTTAAGAAATTTAGGAAAAGGAGCAAACAGATACCAAATGGCTATTCCCTAGCTCAGGAGGCGTGTACACACTAGACCCTTGGCCACAGGAGACTTTGAAGTCCCATAGATGATGGTCTTCTTCCTGGCTTCCCTCTGAGATCAGCTCTTTACCTATGTCAGGAATTCCTTTCCTCTCTGATTTTGTGAAAGCTTCTAACATTTATGAGGACATACATTTGAGGCCATTTTTAATTTGAGGGCATTTTAGGGCATCTTTCATTTAGATGGATGATTTGGGTCCATGTGTATATAATCAGGGTCTGAAATTAACTAATGAAAAACAGAATTTTTATCCATATAACCCGCCCCCCCACCCCAGGATTGAAATGCAGTCAGTCTCTTGCTTTGTAAGAACAAGCGTAGGTGAATATTCATGCCATCCATATTGGCACCTAGAAGTGTACTTCTCATGCGAGCCACAGGGTGTCATGCCGTCCTCTCCTTTCTGTGCGGGGCTGCAGAGAGCAGCTCCTGGGCTGCGTAGCTGGTAATGCCCTTTCCCTTTCTCCTCAGTGTTCCTGACCGGCAGCGATCGCATTCCCATCTACGGCATGGCGAGCCTGCAGATTGTCATCCAGTCCACAGCCAGTGGCGAGGAATACCTGCCTGTGGCCCACACTTGCTACAACCTTCTTGATCTCCCCAAATACAGCAGCAAAGAGATCCTGAGAGCACGGCTAACCCAGGCCCTTGACAACTATGAAGGGTTTAGTTTGGCTTGAGGCTCCACAGTGTGCCCCAGATATCCCTCCCTTCCTCAGTGTCCACATGGAGGCCCATACAGAAAACCATGGGGAAGGGAGTTCTATTTTTTTATTGTCTGAATGGGTTGGGACTTTTGAATCCTGAACCTGGTTGATGTGTTTCTGGGCTTGTGAACAGGAAGCAACCTTTCTGAAAAATCAGGGGTTGGGGATGGGGGTGGAAAATTGGCATTTTTGTTTTTAAACCAAATTACCTAGTAGTGTTCCTTGCACTTGTGAATATGTTGCACTCTGCTGGAAAAAATGGCAGTAGGTTTTTAACCTCTCATTTCCCAAATGTCTCTCTCATCCCTGCTGTTTCCTCACAGTGCTTCCTGTCCCTCTCATTCCTCTGCAAGAATGATTTTGACTGATGCGCCCTTTCTCACCTGCACGTGCAGAACGGCTCCTCTCTCTGCAGACTTGGACATACTCCTGTCTTATTGCAGCCCTGCTCTAAGGACTAAGGAGGCAAGGACTACTTCAGAAAGTCCCAAGACCCGCAAGCTGAATCTGGGTCCCTTATTTCATTATTTTGGCTGAACTCTTTTGAGAATTCGTGGGAGCCTTTATGAACAGATCTTGCTTTAAAAAGAAGTTGTTGAGGGACTAGCAGCCTCTACCTGGCTCTGCCTATTCCTGGACCTGCTTAGAGATGTGCAGAGCAGCTCAGCATTGTAGCTGAGCCGAATTTTGTTTTGTTGTTCAGCCAAGTCCCTTCGACAATAAGGTGAGGTGATAGACCCCTATTCCTTCAGTTATCTGGCTTTTGGAGCAAGTTGCATTACTTTTTTAAAGAGTATCTTCTCCAAGGAAAGTAGAATTAATAAATTTCTTGTTCTCTTTCCCAGTCAAATTATGCCCTCTGCCTCTTTCTCTTTCCTTCCTCTCCTTCCCTTTCTCTCTTACTCACTTCATCCCATTGTTTCCTGACTTAATGCTCCCTTCCTGTCCTTCTAGTAGTTGCATGCAGTCTATTTTTTTAATTTCTATTTAAATTGCAAAATTTCTATTTTTTTTTCCTTTTCCCTAATTGCTAACACTTAAGGACATTCTTTACTATGGGACTTTTGTTTATTGCATTTGAAATGTTTGTTTACAGTGGGATTTCGGGGGGGGGATTGTGTTTAGAGCAAATATATGTATCAAAAATAATGACATGCTCAACCTACTTCATCATGGGATAAGAAAATTCTACATGATCAAAGA